ACTGCAGGTCTGCTTTACGGATCTCGTTTCCTGTTTGTCCTCGGGTCAGAAATTCAAGGTCATGTTTCCTCATGAGCTATCAGCAAATGTGCAGTAGATGGGTTTGTTGAAATCTCAACTACATCCTTCGAAGTTACATGAGAGCCTCCAGTACCTCCTACCTGACCAGGATTCACACACAATAAATGCCATTCTCACACCCACTAATCCCGGCTCGCAGGTATTTACTTGGTGCCATTTACTGCAGTTGGAGAGCAATGATTCTTACCTCGAAAAACGACCATGATAGACTCATTCACAACTGGTGATTTTTTTAAGTGGAAAAATACCCCCATTCTGAAAGACAATGGTTCCAGCTAGAAACAAATTGGTATTCAGCCTGCCAAAACCAGAATGAGGATCATAAAACATTCACAACGAGGCTGTTTGCTACCTGAGTTACATTTATCCAAGAAAAAGCACTCTATGGTAGAGCATAGAGAAATGGAACAAAGTGGGAAAATGATAACAAAACTTGACAGCAAGATCTTTAGAGATGTTTTATTCAACCCTCCCTTGTTCAGGGCACTTTGAGGAAATAGGAAATACAGAAATTAAAACTCCCTCTGTTTGCTGCTTTTGCAGTGAGTGACCGGAAAAGATCAATGTTTGGAAAGAAACTGTATAAAGAGGATGGTCGCCATCAATCTCATCCCTTCCCTTGGTGAAAGTACTTAACTTACACTTTCTCAGATGAGTAATTACCTCTACTTCACACTTAGCGTTCCTTTAGGAATGCAGTAATTAGCGTTCGCCACAGGAGAGTCAATAGGTCTGCACGTTGCTGAAGAAAGCTGCTCCTCAGTCCATACTCGGGACTCACACAGGGAGTAACAGACCAACATTTCCACAGCAGGGAGCGCTGGCACAGAGCACAGGCTGTCGGAAACCCCTGAGCAGCAGCCGCCGCCCCCATCGGAGGCAGGAAAGCACCCACTGGGCTCACACAGCCCTGTGCCTCCCACCTTGCACATGGAGAAACCAGCTCCCCGCAGTCACCATTTTACCAGTGGGTTTGCAACAGGGCCCATGTCTGTGCCGGCAGCAGCACCCACATCCTCCCTGGGGGCTGTCAGTGCTGCTGTGGCCCCGGAGAGCCACCAGCGAGGGGACTGGCCTCACACAGCACCCAGCTCATCAGCAAAACGGCTGGTGCAGAAAAGCTCAGAGCAGCCAAAAAAGGAGAGGGGAAAAATTTCCCCAAACAAATGGCAATTCACTGGAGTCCCTGAGTGAAGATGCTCAACAGATCATCTCAGCTGGCTGATGTGAAATACAGTGCAACATTACATCTCATTGTAAATGCTTGCACCTAACAGCAGCTTTTCAGATGCAGGGTTATTTCCATCCCGGGCTGGGCAACGGGGGGCAGCGCGTCTCCCGGGGACCAACACGCAGCTCAGCGAGAAGGGAAGCAGCGCGTGCCAGCCTCACAGGGACCTACTGAAGCACAGATAACAAACAAAGTGCAAAAGGAGAAAGAGAATCAAAACACAAAATTCACCTTTCCTGAGCACCAAAGTACTCCAATGCTGTTTCCATCATTAGATTACAAATGAGGCATTAGAGTTTTGGGAGATGAAAACTCAGCTACACATAAAACCAAAGTGAGATATGTAAAATATAAGTAACCAAAAGCAAAACCAAAGGCATCAGGGATCCAACCTCAGCTGCGTTCTCTTGCCAGGATACAGCTAACAGGAAAAACAAATGCAATAGCCATCCAACTTGGGCTTGATTTTTAATGGCAGCATACGTTCCTATGAAGCTTCCTACACTTCCTACACTTCCTACACTCTGGAGAAAGACTAAAAAAAATAATAAAACATCTAGAATATCCCAATACTCACGAAAACATATCTCTCAGTGACTCAGGAATCTAAATAACTTGTGTTTCCAGAAAAAAAAAAGCAATTAAGATGAAACGTTAATAACCATATTGATGATTTTCAAGGAAGGAAAAACCCAAAATAAAGGAAGAGCACGTACTTGACCTGAAAGATGAGCGAATCTGTGCTTGCATGAGGGGTGGCTCACACCACACCCCAAAGAGCTGGACAGCACCCCAACCCTGTCATGGGGCCACCCACGTGCCCAGCTGCACCCAGAGGTGCGGCACCATGCTGCTGTGGGAGGGGCAGCCCCTTTAGGAAACAGTAAAATGGCCTCACAGGTTTTAAAAATGAGGGGATTGATGCAGTTTACATCACACTGACGACTGTTGAGGGGAAAAAAGCAGTTATTTGGTAATTCTGGTAGATCATGCCATTTTATAGTTAGAAATACATGTACAAAATTTGTATTTTCACTCTATATCTGAAGGCAAAATTAATATTTCTTTCAAGTCTGACTAATATCTGCACTTGCCCTCCATCACTGGCTCAGGAGTCACCAAAGAGACAGAAGATAGATGGTTTTCATACTTGAAGCATATGGATATACTCACATGAGCCACAACTACATCAATTAAAAGAACAACAACAAATCAAGTGAAAATACAGCAGGCTGAGCACTGGCGCTAGCCATGTCAAGGGAGATTCCCCATGTTCCGAGAAGGTTCTGTAGTTCCTTTACAATGCCTGTACAGATCTGCTTCCACCAGCTGTTCCTATGGGAATGGCGGAGCGGAGGGGGTCAGGGACTGCCTGGCCAGACCCCACTTGCCAGTGGCTATGGGGTGATGCATGTGGTGCAAGGACATCCGCGCTCGCTCCCAGGCTGTGCAGCAATTCTGTGGGCCAGACAGAACCAGCACCCTCAGACCCGCACTGGCTACAGACAAACAGAGAGTGCTGTCCGACCAAGAGCTATTTCTTTTCATTTCTACTTCTACAATATTTAAAGGAAATCACATATATATATATCAGCTAAGACAAAAATGGCACCCAGTGATTTCCAAGCCTGCTTCTCCAGGCTATACAACTCACGCCTGACGTGACATCCATCACATTTTGCTCCTATCCAACAGCCACCCCAAACTAATCCAGACCCCAACCAGACCTGTCTCACCCAAGCAGTTCCCAGGAATCACACACTGAAAAATCACACCAGGAGACTCTAAAATGGAGCAGTTAGCTCTGCTGCTTAACACCTTCACCCCAATAGACTTTCTTAAACACTCTCTTTGAAAATTTCAGGATGGTCCACCCAGCTCTCCTTTTTGAGAGGAAAAAAAAAAAGGCAAATTTTTAAAAGATTGGTTTTAAGTTACATCAGAAAACAAATTATTGCCTATTAGTTCTCACTCAGACCCATGTATTATGCACAGCCTTGATGCACAGCCCAGATCAGATTTGGTGGTAGGCTGCAACAAATATAAGGGAAGAGCTTTGCATGGTAACACTAAGCAGTGTAAAATCTGACTACAGATTAACTTAATACACCATGTAGGCAGATGCTTTTGCCATTAGCATTTGCACAGAGCAGATGAAGGTGTTATGGACAGATCCTCTTATCCAGGTTACACAAACTGGAAAGCTGGAATCAGTCCACTCCTCACCTAGGACAACCAGTCAGTCACCCCTGTAAAAGGTAAAATAAAGTAAAATAGAACGGGCATCTGGGAAGAGAAGGTAGCACAAAAGTAAGGCTTGCAGCACATCAGCTACCTATTAACTTTTGAAAATCTCTGTTTGCTAATGGCATCCCCCCGGATGGTGTGTGCTCAGCTAATGTTTCCTCATTTCAAGGCACTGTGTTCAGACACTGCTGCCTGGTGCACTGCCATAAGGCAGGGAGGTTCCTCAGGTAAGACTGGTTTCTGAAGCATTGTTTGGTAAAATCAAGAAATCAAGGTCTGACTTAGGTTACAGCTGCTATCATCAATTGTGAGGTCAACATTTGCAATAAAAATGTAAGTAGAAGTGAAAGAAAAAGGCTACTATATCCATTCGTGGACCTCGTATATCTTGTGTTTGGTAAACAGTCACGAGGTGCCGCTCATGTCAGGACCTAGAGCCTCAGCTCCAATCTTCCCTTAAACTTCTTGAGTAGAGAGACGAGGCAGCTTGAGATGTTTGAGGGCTACTTAGACAACCCAGGAAGAAGTATCACTGCCTAGGGAGTAATCAGTACTCTCTACTCAGGCTGCAAGTATTCTACATCGAGTCTCACAAGAACATTTTGTGCCACATCTTGAAAAAGGAGATATTACTCTTGATTTGATGAAAAATTAACTGTAAATATGAGCTGTATATGTGCTCATTTATAGCAATGAAGTTTGCATTCATTACAGTAATGAGCATTGCATAAAGTGTATAATCAACATTCACTGCAGATGTCAAAAGGAATCCAGAGGCAGAGAGGAAATATGTACACTTGCCACAGTTGATCATAAACATCATAAATTTCCAGTCCCCAAAAAACACAAAGCAAGAGGCAGTCCTTTTTCTTACTACTAGCCCTCAGGGGCATTTGAGTGTATCTATCAAGCTCTTGTACTAACGAGCTTAGACAGCCTTTCAACCATAGGATAAATATTACTACAAGTGCTGTAAATATTTTTGTAGTAGAAGCACAACTGTTGCATTTCCTCCCCCAGCAAAAGACAAAGGCTACAAATGTGATTACATTCAGTTGGTAACTGGAGGATCCAAGCAGATAACTAAATTCAATTCATTTCATGTAGAGTAAGATGTTTCTCTAACATCACATTAGAAATTAAGAGCAAGTCATGGAAGGAAAGGATCAGATTTTAACAAATAATAATCTGAAATAAAGTTAAAATTCCAGAAAACACCATCCACAGTCTGCAAAATCAAAGCAAGGTAGGCAATGGTGAAACAGTATCTACTATGTCAAGTGAAATACACACCATCTGCTGACAGAGCGAAAGAAGGGAACTGGAGGTTTGCTCTATTTCACGCCCATGAGGAGCAGTAAGAAGAAAAGAACACGGGACATGCAGCAATGTTATTATGAGTAAATATTCTCCAGACATCTACACTGGAAGCAGTTCTTACCTTCTGGTAGCCTAGGGTTAGCGTGAATAGAGTTGGGGTCCCCATCTTCCTCGGGATGGTAACGATAAAGCATCTGTGACTGCTTTTGGGATGACTGACTACGGTCTTCTTTTAGAGCAACAGGAGGAGAGGTTGTTGCACTGAACTTTACCTTGGGGAAAGCATTTCCCTCGTGCATTTCATGGGAAGATTTTGACCAACTCGGCTCTGTTAAATTCACCTCTTTCAAGCCTAGATGCATACTGTTCCCTGGGTCCTCTTTTCTGGCATGCTTTTTCATTTTAGAGTGGTGGGCTCTTTCTTGCTCAGACCTCTCTTTGTCCCCTTGTTTCCCCTTTGCTTTCCTCTCCAATTCCTCCAAGTGCTTGGGTGTCTCCGTGGTGGCTGTCGTGTGCTCCAGAGGAGCACTGGTGGTTACTGGTGCTTCCTTATGAGTCACTTGCTGGAGGGATGCTGCAGTGGTGCGGAGCACCCTCTTTCGCTCGCTTCTTTCTGTGGCACTGCGAACTTCAGCAGGGATGTTAGGCACTGGTGTGGTGAGTGGGGCAGCCGTTTCCTCGGTGTACGGATCGGCTGGAGCCAAAGCTGAAGGAGCAGTGCTGGCTGGTAGGTAATCATAATCCTCGCTTTGCTCTTGGCTGATGCTCTCCTGCTCTAGGTGGGACGAGTAACTCCTGTATTTCTTTGCAGACTCCACCCGCGCATTGTCTCCTTCTGGTGCCTCCTGGTCGTAGCTGTACGGATCGTCATAATGCCTCTCTGGCTCATTATCTTCAGCATCTATTGGACTCGCAGTGTTTAAGGCGAACGCGTTACAGTCTGGGAGCTGGTAGCACATCAGCTCACCGCCAGCGTTGGGGCAATGGCAAACCTTGCAGGGGGGCATGTGGAAGGTGTGCCCTGCCACATACTTCTGGCCCTCATGCAGGCAGCCTATCCTCCCGCACTGAGGACACCCGTCGGCTGGCACCACTGCATCGATGCAGTTTGGGGGCAGCTCCGGGCACAGCATGAACTGGCAGCTGATCTTGCCTCCTCCCTTGGGGCAGGAGCACTCAGTGCTTCCAAAGTCCACAAAGTAAGACTGTCCTTCGGGCACTTTGCCGTTGATAAAGCCCACATTGACGCAGTCATAGTACTGATAGCCTTCGCACGTGCAGCCGTGCTGCAGACACGTGGCACAGCACTCGCCAGGCTCCAGCACGTCCTCGATGCAGTTGTCCAGCGGCTGGCATTCTGCGCCCGTGCAGTCCCTCTGTGCGTGGGAAATGCCGGTCCACAGCAGCACAAGGAGGATGGCATTCACACAGCTCAGCTGCCAGCTCTGGTACCTATCCATAGTCTTCCCAAACAAATACAGCTGGAGTCCAAACTTGTACACTTAATGTTTTTTTCTTTCCTAGAAGGCTGTAGATTCAGGTCCAAATCTGCAGTGTTTTCCCAAGTTACCTTTTCTGATAGATCCTAGAGTTATGAAAGAAAACTCTGTTAAAGACTATACTCAGTACATATCCTGTTAAACACTAGAGGTCTTTAAAAGTTGGGACAAAATCCAACATCTGGAAACCTCAGTATGAAATTAATCATAAAGTCTTCCAAGCATTGTAGGCACTAAGTTTGGAGCTGCATGCTTCCCCTCCCCAACCCCCAATTTTGAAAGAAAAAAAAAGAAAGAAAAAGAAAGGAAAAAAAGGTCGTAACTGTTCTCTTTTGAATCTGTTCATAAAATATATATTTAAATAAAAAGAAGGCCTTTATACTTCAATGCCTTTTTGTTGATCATTCTTTCTTGCTAAAAAAAGAAAGATTTTTTGGCAGATAATAAGTAAATACACAGTTCTTCCTCTGCAGATGTAAGTTCAAGATAATTATTCTTTATCTTTTAATTACAAAGACCCAAATTTTAAAGATCTTTCTTAGACAAAACTTAGCCTTGAGACACGAGAATTTGTCTGTACACATGTTAACTCAACAGTATTTTTTTTCTGCCTCCTTCCCCCACTTAGCAATATTTTGCACTTCCGTCTTCAGCATTAACAGTTAATTTTTGGCCTCAGCAGTGCTAAAATAGAACTTCTTTGTATATTGTGGTTACTGTGTGGTTAAACACCATATTAGCTATCCTGTAATACATATTAGAGGCTGGATCCTCAGCTCACAGAAGCTGGCACAGCTCCACAGCAGGCCTGCAGTGCACAGAGGGACCCACTCTGACTTCCCCAGAGGTACCGCTGCACAGGCATGGACCTGTACACCCACCGAGGATACGCCACCACTGCCAACTACTACTTTTATTTTTGATAGCACCAGTAATACTTTATCAGTGAATTACTACACTGTGAACAGAATACATACACATATACGTGTGTTTGTGTGTATATATGTGCGTGTATACATATAAATAAATAAATGGGCACAATAACGCGTTGTTCAAATGCATTGAGGAAAGCATGTTGTTTGCTTTTTAATTACTAAACCCTTTGACCTCAGAAAAGTTAAAGAGTTAAAATAAATCAGCTGTTGTCCCTTATAACAAAAGCATGTTCAAAAAGCTACACAATTAACATGGAAAAGTACTTAAAACAGAAACGTTTGCCTATAGAATTAGCAATCTGATTATTTTTCCAGAATCCCTCCCATCATCAAAGAAATAAAGACCCTAAAACATTTATCTAGGGGGTAAAATGTAGTCACATCACCAAGAACAATAAACCACACACACAACAGGAATACTGCCAGAAAATCCATTCAGAAAGATTAGTTCTCCCATTCAAACTGGGCTTCCAACGAGTCTGCTTCGGCACTGCTGGAAAGCAGCCAGCCCGTGGGAAAAGCGTGCCTGTTCTGATAAGATACGGACATGCTGTGCTAAGAATTTCCACAGTTCTGCCCTGGAATTGGAATTCCTTCAGTATATTGTACAGAGATAGAATTCTTACAAATGTAGGTTTTTTACTACTAACTTGAGTTTATTAGTTGATTATGCTAAAGAATACTGATAGAAGGAAAAATAAAATTGTCAGAAAGTATAATAATGTCTTGGAAGAATCTCACTTTTTCAGACCTGCTCTCAAAACGAAATATCCTTTTCATATGAAAGGGAATTTTCAATATGTGGTGCTGAAATTAATTCTTCAGAATCCAGCCTCGGAATTAATAATTTATCCTACTTTCAGCAGCTTTTACAGGTAATCCAAATTTGCAATTATTACATAGCTTTAGCTGGAAAATAATGAATAGAAGGGCAATTAAAGATAAGCTTCCCCTGTAAGGGTCCCCCAGCAGGCTTCTGTCACCATCCCCTCCCATTGGTACCTTCTGGCTTTGATGCTTCAGCACATGTAAGTCCCTTGGTCGAACTCCCAACAAGAAAACCCCCAAATTACCTCGTACCCTGAAGCAAGAAGCAGAAAGCCAGTCATGCTTTGTACCTAGCATGCCTAGAGTTCAAGCACAGCTGAAGGTTTAACATGAGACAGTCCTGTTTTCATGAAAGGAGATGCTCAACTGCCCTTCCCCCAGACAGGTACCTCCTCCCCTCCTCATCTGCACCCCATTTCTGTCCAAGGCTTTGGTTGCTTGTCCAGGCCACCTGCAGTTTTTCCTCCGCATTCCCTCGCCTCTTGCCCACCAAGAGACCCGGAGAGCTCGCGGCCCCTCTCCCACAGTGAGCCCTGTCCCTGCCTCTCACGCTTTCTGCTCAGTGCCTCATTCACTCCATCTGTACCCTTTCTCTTTTGATCCTTTCCACATCCCTCAACATTTGGTTTCTCAAGCTACCAACCTCAGATAAGGCCGAAATCCTTATAAACTTTTTCTGTTGATAACTCCACAGTCTTCCCTATCCTCCAGCTCACTTTCCTTCATCAGAAGCTCCTTGTTTCTGGTGTAATGATTCCAACACAAGTATCTCTTTTTATTCCTTTAAACCACAGCATTTTCCCTGTGCTTTCTCCATCTGTTCCCCCACACCCATCGCTCCTCCCACCACCACCACCACCCCATAAACTTGCATATCAAAGAAACAGTCTCTACTTCAGGCACAGAGAAAAACAGCTTTGAGCGAAGTGCACAGACACGACTCTTGAGCCCCACGGAGAAAACACATCCCTCAAACAGAGTGCGTGTGCTCTTGCCAGCCCACGCAGCTGATGTGCAACTGCCTCTGGATCCATGCCCTTCCCCAGCGCTGAAACGATGCTCTGGAGACAGTAGCTAATTACTTGGTAATGGGATCAAAAGCTGGAGCTGGGAAATCAAGGTGTCTATACCAAGAGGGGAAAAAAATGCATCCTCTCTGGAGGATAGGGGAGTTTAACACCAGTAGATACTATTGCAATACTTTGCTTCCATTAACTACTTTAATGCTTTCTTTAATGTCCTTTTACACAACTGGGGCAACACACAAGGGCTTAATCTAAACGAGAATCAGGACTTTTTACTCTTGACTCTGTCCTTCATCCACTCTTATCAACATCATTGACTTTCACTGCTTAGTTGGGTGACATGTCACAACAAATCAAGCCCTGCACACCTAAAATAAAGGTCTTTCAAAGTCTCTGCTGAAAGTTTTACAGAGCTCTACAGCAAGATAAGCCAGGTGTCACCCCAGTCCTCATGCATTGCTTCATGACCCAGGCGGCTTCAATTTCTGTCCTTTGTGGAGCTTCCTAACCTGCTGTGCTGGATATCCCGCTCTCCTTTGGTTCCAGTGCTAACCCTGTTGGCTTCAGCGGGGTCGTACTGGGCCACCATTAAAGTAGCTGTTGCCAGCCCTGTGCACACAGTGTGTCCTGAGTCCAGTGCTCTGGACTGGGACTAAGTCCCTCAAAGTCAAAAGAAGTAAACCCAGAAGGTAAATCAGCAGTAAATAATGGATCATAGAATGGTTTGGACTAGAAAGGACCTTAGAGATCATCCAATTCCAACCCTACTGCTATGGGTGGGGACACCTCCCACTAGCCCAGGTTGCTCAAAGCCTCATCCAGCCTGGCCTTGAATGGGGCATCCCCAGCTTCTCTGGGCACCCTGGGCCACTGCCTCACCACCCGCGCAGTGAAGAATTTCTTCCTAATATCTAGTCTAAATCTGCCCTCTTCCAGTTTAAATTCATTACCCCTCATCCTGTCACTGCATGCCCTTTTAAAAAGTTCCTCCCCATCCCTCCTGTAGCCCCCTTCAGGTACTGGAAGGCTGCTATTAGGTCCCCCCAGATGGTCAAGGAGTTCCTTATTCCTCAAATCCCTTCTTTAAAAATGATTCCTAGGAAAGGCAAAGACAAGACACCTTATGGAAAACCAGCTTAAAAAAAATAACAGTCCAAATAAACATGAACTACAGGCACACATCTCTATGGAAAAGGAAATGAGAATGCTTCACGCTGCAGATGAAACCAGTGTCTGTGTGACAGAACATCCAAGGCTACCAGCAGCAACCATCAAAATTATAACTAGGGCTGGCTGAAAAACATCATGTTCCTGTCGCCTGGCAGGGGAAGCGGGTGGAACAAAACAAGATTTCAAAATACTTACTTCAAATCAATTTGGAGACAAAAAGTTATAAATTCTGACATTTTTGCAAACAATATACTCAGAGTGATTTACTTCAATCAAAGCCATAACATAAAGTCAAAAGGAAGAATGTCGACTTGATTAAAACAGTTCAGCTGTATAACTTGAAAATGTTGATGAAATCAGTGTGTTCCCACATAAGATCTAGACATTTCAAATGTGCAACTTCTTTACATTAGGAGGAGTATTTTATTGGGAGATTTTTCTTCCAGATGGTTTCATTTCAGTGCTGAACCAGAAAGCTTATTCTAGGTAAGCAGAGGTGACGAGAGGCACTTTCTTTCAAAGACTTCAGACAAACATCATCTTCTTGTGTGAAGGTTGCCCCAGAGACAGCATAACAACTGCAGAAGGTGTGCATGTGTGGAAGCGATACTGCAGGATCAAGAGCATTCTTTCAAGTGTTCACTGAACAAAAAGAGGCAGCCATTTATAAGCAAAAAGCAATAAATAGAATAAACTCAGCCACTCCAGAGGACACCACCTGCATGAGAACACACTGACCTCCAGTTTTGAAGATGTCCCTGCGATTTAACCAGCTGCAGATCCCTGCAAACAGCTTTAGATAGAACAATTCTTTTCTCTGTCCTACCTCCCAATTTCTCACTAAATTGCCCTTTTCAAGGATGGTAGAAATAGAAACGTTTTGATATAATCTTCTCTTTCTGACCATTGTGCAGGGCCAGACTCAAGCCTGACGTGAAAGCAGAAGGTGGCAGGCGTCTGTGCGATCCCTCCTGTGCCACATACTGGGAGCACACTTCCTGCTGGGCACAAGCCACTCGGCCACTCAGTTTGT